GTAAAGGAATTCAAGGAATGTACATATACATATAGGAAAAACACATAGTGTGACCAGGGTTTACAATTTTCGAATGCTATCCGATCGACGGTCATACGGATAGGCATGTACTTGTTGACAGGCTAAACGTACATATGTACATATGTGTTGTGAAAGATGGAAGAAAGTCACAGTACCTTAATAAATGAATACGTGATAACTCACTATACATTCACTATACTCAGCTGAAAGTATTAAAAGCAATCGATATACACGTATATTTTATCTGGGCATAGATTGCCCAAGTCATGCTCACAGACTGCCGTATATCCTGTAAGCATCATCACCAGTCTCAAGTTTAATAATTACAAATAGAAATTACTGAAACAGCCCTCTGACGCAAAACTGACAAGGTTCTCAGTTTTCCTTAGACATATACTTAAGGCAGGCGGCTTTCAGGAACGCCCACCCACCACCAGATACGGAATCAGGAATGGACTCAGATTCACGCGACGAATGCCAGTGCCATCGCTGACGATGAGGATGAGGATGAGCATGAGGATGAGGATGTGGAAGCCGAGACCAGAAGCCAGGAGCCCGCAAAGACTAATGAGACTGCCACAGGACGCAGGACAAGCGCCTGCAGTGCAAAAGTTTAGCAAAAGTGTCAGAAAATGTGAATGCGATTGTGTGGGTGGTGGGTGTGGGTGGTGGCTGGTGGCTGGTGGCTGGTGGGGGGTGGCTGGCGTTCGGCGGTGCGGGTAATGTGCCGAGGTAAACGGCAGCAAACGAGATGAATGATATCCAGACGAATGATGCATGAGTCGCTTTGGGGCGGGTGGCGTCGAGTGGGTGGCCGGTTGGCATTCCGACGCTCCATTCGCCAGCTTGTGTGCTCCCTAGTGGAGGCGCGGAGGCGGGTGGAGTGCGGAAGACGCTGCCTTGTAAACGAAACGCAGGCGTGGACGCAGCAGCGAATGAGAAGGCGAATGCGAATGCGGATGCGAATGCACACAAACATACTCGGTTATATACACTCGCTGGTAAGAGGAAACATATCCAGCTCGAATCTTGTCTGCAATAAATCAAATTTTATTACACTTTTCTTTATGCATGCCACAGGATATATGGCAAGCGTATGGCTCACTGATGGGCACACAGAGACCCAGGGCGCTGCGAACTGAGATTTTCGCAAGCTCATTTAGCGGTGTTTTCCTCTGGTGGGCAGACTTGGGTTCGAGCGGAATTATCACACAGATTGACATCGTGGCAACGCGTCGCAAGAGCTTCTAGTAGTTTGGGCACCGAATGATCGAATTAAATAATACTAATTATATTAATTATAAATAGAATGTTATGTACATGGTAAGCAATTACCTTTAAGTTAAATCTGAGCCCTGACATCTCTTGCGGCAGCTCTAGATACAATCGCAACGTTTTCCGATGCTATATTCCAAGCTGTCCAGTTTTTATCACAAGATCAAGGTGTAACGCTTAGCGCCAAAGTCGAGTTTCGCAAATAGTAGATGATCAATAGCAGGATGCGCTGCTTAAGCTCCATTGGAGATTGTATTTTACATTCTAAAAGTACAGTCTAGTTCCCCGACTATCAGATACCCGTTACTCGGCTAATGGAAGTGCGAACGAGAAATTTCAACATTTTCTGAGAAAAAAAGATTATAATTATACTTATAATAAGTTATAATTATAATAAAGTGTGGGCGATTTGTGGGCGTCACAGTGGTCGTTGCAACATCATTTAACAGGGCTAATCTCAAGATTGTAACTTAGGTAGTTCCTGATCGAGGCGTTCATACGGACGGACAGGCGGTCATGGTCAGTTCGACTCGGATATTGATCCTGATCAAGAATACATAATATATACTTTATTTGGTCGGAAAAGCTTCTTACGTACTTTTCAACGAATCTAGTAAACACTCTTACTAGTAACGAGTATCTTAATAGTAACGAGTATAACTGCAGTAATATTCAATTTATACTATATTACAAGTAGCTATTTCCAAATAAACAAATATAGTAAAAGCAGTTATTAACTATCCACTTTTATTATTCTCCCATATTTGCGTTGTCTGAGATTCTTACATTTCAGGTACATAAATTTGATATTCTTGTCTATCGCCTGAGGACTCGGGAATTAACTTCGGCCACTCCCACACACATTAGCCACCCACTTAGACGCAGAGGCAGTTTCAATGTCGGCAGTGTTGTTGGCTTATCAAAGAGCAAAAAAGTAAACCGTTATTCACGACACTTTTCAGAATTTATGTGTTTGTATCTCATTAAGCGGAGCAGTAGCAACGGGTGGAGCAGTTGGTGCTTGGAGGTGGGAGGTCAACCCTAAGGTGTCCCGTGCGTAACTTTCGAAGGCAAGTAACATTGCGAGGAGGGGATGCCTTTCGAGAAGAACGTGCAATCAATGAAGCCAAACTGAAAGCTGAGTGGGGCCAGGAAAGTTGTGTGAAACATTTTCCAAAAATTATCTTTTAGCGCAAATGAGACATCCAACACATGTCCCCCCTACCCTTCCACTCTTTCGAGGCATATCACATAGATGTACACTGCTCATGTAATTTCTTGTCATTTTAATTAAATTAAATTTATTTTTTGATTAATTTTAATTTCTCTTAATTAAGTTTAACTAAATTTATTAATTAATAATTTAATCTAATTTAATTTAATTTAAATTTATTTAGTTTAGTTTAATTTAATTTAATTTGATTTAATTTAAATCAATTTAATTGAATTTAAAATTTAAATTAAATTAATTCATTTAATTTAGTTTAGTTTAGTTTAGTTTAGCTTAGTTTAATTTAATTTAATTTAATTTAATTCAATTCAATTCAATTCAATTCAATTCAATTCAATTCAATTCAATTCAATTCAATTCAATTCAATTCAATTCAATTCAATTCAATTCAATTCAATTCAATTCAATTCAATTCAATTCAATTTAATTTAATTTAATTTAATTTAATTTAATTTAATTTAATTTAGTTTAGTTTAGTTTAGTTTACTTTAAATTAATTAAATTTAATCTAATCTAATAGAATCTAATTTCATTTAATTTAATGTAATCTAATCTAATTAAATAAAATAAATAATTAAACTTAATTTAATTTAATCTAGTTTTATTTTATTTGATTTATGCAAAAAATGTATCTAGGCTTTGCTTCTAGATAAACAGTTTTCCCGAGTACCTGTAAAAGAGCTACCTTTCGCGCGCAGATCATAAAAATGAGCAAAAATGAATCCTTTGGCAATTGAAGTTTCCGGGGCGATTTTTGTCGTCATCAGCGATGGACGAAGAAGAGGAAAATGGGCAAGCGGGAGGAGGGGGCTAGGGATTTGCGTATGAAGTTGGTATCGCGATCTGGATGTCGTTGTCTCAATCCTTTGTTGCCCATAAATCAGCGAATCGCGTTCACATTTCGCACATGTTCTTGTTCCTGCGAAGTCACTTCCCTTTCCACTAATTTACCACACCGCCGAGTTAGGACGACCGTGTAGCCCATAATTCAGGTTTAATTAACTCGGCGCGCTTATTATCACATATAAGTTTACAAGGTGATATGACCGTTTTCGGGCGGCGTCGTGCCACAATTAACTCAGACTTAAGCTGGCCGAATAATTTGGATTGGCAAGCAACCGAAAAACTTGCAAGGTTTACGGCCCAGAGCTGAGAAACAGCATGATATTGATAATATTATCAGCTTTGCTATATTCCGATGCAAGTATCCATAGTTTGCAGATTCCATGGATAGATAAATTATGTTGGAGCAGCCTAAAAAGAATTCGAAGACACCTTTTGGTTTACATAATGTACTTATAGACGACGCACATTTTCACTTGTGCAATGGCGTAAATCTGGTCCTTTTTCCTCAGCCTTAGCTATAAGTTTGAACTTGAAAACTTTTTCTAAACCGCATATAGCATTGCACTGTTATATTTTCCGTTGGCTGTTGTAGCTGTTTCTATTCTTATCTATAGTATTTTCACGTTGTGCTAGTACCATGCCGTTTCTTGGGAAATATTTATAATTGAGCTTACAGCAGAAAGCCTAATTGGACACATTTTTTTTGTAGAAAATAAACTGGCCGAATAGACAGACTAATATTGAGGTGTATTGATGAAATAGGCAATTTCACAATTAATCACAATTATAAATGTTGGGAAGTGTATAAAAGAATTAAGCGGAGTAGCAAGCCCACGGAGTCCAGTTGCTCAAGACAACAAGTCTGGGGTGGAGATCAAAGGTCATCTCAAGCTTTGCATATCCAAAAAACGTAAAAGCCAAATTTTGAACGAATATGAAATGGTCCCATTGCTTAGGAGCGCCTTGTTCCACTGCGCTCACTTCGCCTTGTACCACCAGGTGAATGAATAAATACTAGAACTACTGGATGTTATCTTTTAATATACGCGGCTAGATTGAGTAGTGTTTGCACTGAAGCCCGTTACTCCAAACGTAGTGTATTTTACACACATATGTATCTTTGTTGGTGTAACTGACGGAACACCAGCCGATATGATACACCTGTCCGTCTGCCGGACATGGAAACTGCAGTACTGCCTATGTAGTGTAAGATTGTTTCGGTTGCTCTTAGCCACAAATATGCGTTTGTTGTTGGGCTGAACATAGGCTTAACCAAAATACTTACACAAATTATTCGCCACTAAAACAGCATGCTTACAGCGAAACTGGCATTGGATAGTCGCGAGAACAGACATTCCGGTTTCCAAAGTATCTGTAATATGCCAAATGAATCTCATTCAGTTCCTGCATTGCAGTCAGTCTGAATAGCTGAAAAGAACGTCCCCAGAAGCCGCCAAAAAAATGTTAAATTGGAGAGTCAAACGTACAACTGAATTTTATTATTGAACTCCTTATCCGCTCCTACTACTTGGTAACTTCCCTTTGAGCTAATTAGGAATTAAGGCTTTTAGTAGATCAAGTGCAAACTAGACTTTCTTCTGCTCGTCGTATAGAAAAAGTCGTTTAATTCTATTCTGAATGCTGCCTTTATTGCGTTTGTATAACTAAAGCGAATAATCCGAGGGGCGTGGGGGGTGTTGCAGGAAATACACGGGATGTTGCGTTGCGTGGCAGGGGAAGCGAACGGTTTTGATTAAAAATAATATCACAAAAACTGAAATACAATTCGTATACGTAGTTAGTAACTATTATTCACCATATATCATAGATATAAATAATCCCGACGCAAGAGACGGTAAAAGTGATTGTTTGGACAATATGAAATGATTCACATTCTGCATAGATTGCCCCTTCTTAGGTTTAACTCTTAGGTCAGATATTCAAAGTTCTTAGTAATTGTTGAGACTCGAACTGCTAATATACATGGGTTTTTGTATAGTTTAATATGTGTATGAATATACCATTTTAAAATTGTTTCCGTATACATGCGTTGCTGTGGCTATATATTGATGTAAATATCGGTAATCTTTAGACTTATGGAAGGAAAGTGCCATTGGCTAGTATTTACATTCAATGCATTTTTTCGTATGGGGGCTACATATGCATCGCAACCATTAATTGGTTCTATCATTGAGGTTATCATTTAAGTGTAAGGATTTACGTATACTGCGTTGCTGTTGTTTTGTTATTGCTTAGAAGAACCAATTGAGCTGGTTGGGTATCTTTCTAGATCTAAACAGTTTTGATTTTTGGCACCCTTTTCCTTTTTATTCATTGTGACAAGGAGCAGCGGTTACATACATACATACGTGTATGTAAATAAGTAATAGTTGGCTTGTTCCCTGAGTGCACTCAAGTCCGAATCCAATTGCACTCGAAAACGAAGTCCATTTTTGCCACTCACACTCACACTCGCACTCACACTCAGTAGGGGCACTCAATCTCCTGCTCTCTACACACCCACTGCGCTATGCCTATCTCTCTCGCCACCATCCAATCCCACTTTGACGCACTCGTGTCGTCGCCTTTCGTCACTCCGCCACTATGGCCGTCCCTGTCCGACTCGCTTTGATGGACAGCAGTTCGTCAAAGTGGTGGTAATTGAATTTCCAGCTGCTAGTCCTCTCTCGCTCGTGCTTCAGACAGCGACTGCCGGATTGGGAAACAATAAAGAGCAGACCAGAATTGCCGTGACGTCACGGACAGAGGGGAACAACAACTCGAGAGAGGGCAGTCTGGGGAAATTGCTGGTAAATTCAGCAAAAGTAGGGGAAATCTTAATGTGACTGTGTGTGCAGCTCCAAAGAGCAAGAGAGAGACAGTGAGAACATCTGTAACTTGGAGAAAGAGCACGAAAGAGCGAGAGCTGTGCAGATCAAAATCATGATCGGAAATCAATGCACTTTTCTAGAAATTTGCAAACGGATTGCTAAAGTTATGTTAACCGACATTGACGAACGTATTCTTGATCTTTTAGGAACTTAAACCATAATTGGTTTAAGTTATTCAGCTTAAATTATTTTGGCTTTTGATTTTATATGACTGTTAGACAGCCTGCTTCGTTAAGCAAACAATTTAAATTTAGCCTAAATCGAAAGGACATATTCTGATTATAAACTAAAGCTTACGCGTCTGCAATCTGTGACGAAATTTGTTTAATCCGTGCAAAGAAACTTTCGCTTATATTTCTTCCCAAGCTCTTTTACCAGTAGACTCTCCTGCTGTTTCCATAGGTGACGTAACTTATCTACAAGTTATTGCCCAATCTACATTGCCCAACTGCATCCACAGTTTTGCAGAATTGCGACAGCAGCTTCTGGAGTCTAGGCGTTTTTAGAGGACAGCTGTTTGGCCAGCTCCGTGTATTTGAGGAACTTAGACTGCGGACTCTCGTCGTAGGGATTGATGGTGGGCGAGGGAGGGGGCTGCGTAGATCCTGTCGCCGGACTCCTGGAAGCGGATCTCCTGGGGGAGGCCAAGGGCAGCGACTTGGGGCTCTGAACAGAGGGGGACTTGAGTCTGGGAGAGTCCTCGCCTGCGTCTTTCACGAAGTGCACCTTGGAGAGATGGTGGCGGTAGGCGCCCTTCGATCCGAAAGGGGTATCACAGTAGGAGCACTTAATGATAGACGAATCGCCGCCGGAGCCACCATTACTGGCACTCAGAACGGCCTCGTTGCAGGCCCAGCTGAAGGCCACCAGATCGCTACCGTTCGCAGAGGGTAGTGTTGCTGATGCGGTGGAGGACCCGGCGGAGGATCCGCTGCGTGGGTCGGTGGCTGGGGGATCCGTCGTCTCGCACAGTTTCTGTAGCGCAGCCAGGGGATGGGACTTCGGCTTCTGAGCGGAGACGCTACTGCTGCTGCTGCTGTTGTTGTTGTTGTTAAAGCAGTGCCCTGGAAGAAGGTTTGGTTGAGTACATTTAATAGAATTTCCAGCAGTCAGTGACGACATGTTCATAAAACGAATCAATCCCTCAATTATTACCAATTTGTTATTTAATTAATTATTTAAATATTTTCTGCCTATGACAGGGAATAACATAGTTTATTGAAAACGGACTAGTCCCTTGTTCCCAGTTAAGCCTTCGCCTATAAAACAAAAAGTTCAAGAGAATGGATTGCTTTCTCTTACCCGAGTTGATGTTGCTGCTGTTTTCCACTCCACTGAGCTGATCGAACATGGAGTTCAAGGCCAGTAGACTGCCATTATCTGGGGGAGATCTTTCGGTCTGCAGAGCGGGAGACTCGCCTACCGACTGAGGACTCTCCCGACTCCCTTCCATGCTGAACTCCTTCTTCACTTGGATCTGCTGCCGGGGGCTGCAGCCCTCTGGATCGCCACTCGCCGAAGGTTCCGCCTCAGGTGGCTCAGCTTTGATAGTGGGCGGTGGTGGAGGAGGCGGAGCAGGAGTATCTGGAGTTCTGCGGGGGGTGGCCTGCTGCCTGTCGGGGGTGTAGGATGACTCCACCCTACTGGCCGAGCTCGATTCGCTGGCACTGCGATCTCGCGAGGCGAAGGAGGATCGGAGCAGGTGCATCGCCTGGGCATCCATAAGAGGCTTGGTGTAGTCACTGCTGTCCTCTATTCCCAGGCGCTTTAGGATGCTGGCTCCCAGCGGGGTTCCAGCTTCGGAATAGCCACCAAATGTCATGGTTCTGCTCGTTCTCGATTCGAAGCTCTTCTCTATGAGTTGCTCCAGTGCATTTAGGACTGATGGTGGTTTCTCTCCGCCTAGTCCTAAGCTGGGACTTGGCAGACGCTCTACTCCCGCGTTAGATCGACGGGGAGGGATGGGAATACTCTCGCCCAGGCACTTTCGAATGTGCTCGACGAACAACGCAGTTTCAATCTTACTGCCACACTTTTCACAGGTAATTTTGGTGGCAGCAGCAAAGTCCCTCAGGGGCTTTAGCGCCGAGTCCAGACTGCAATTCGAGCCGGAACGCTCGAGTTCAAGGAGCTTCCTCACCGGCAAGGACTTCTTGCGTTTCTCGTTGCGATTTTGCCTAGCTCTTTTCGGATTGCCCGAGCCGGCAGCTGGTGGAGAAGCAGACGGATCCGGTGACTCCTTGTAGTGAGATTTTTGGGCCATGTGGCTGCTCAACTCCTTTAGGCTACCGAAGGCCTGATCACAAACTTTACACGTGAGCACGGCACTCACTGATGGAGCTGTGCCACTCGGCGAAGGGGGAGCAGCTGCGGATGCAGACGGAACTCCGGGGTTTGCCGGCCTTTCCCGTTCATCGCCCGACTTCCAGGAAATGATTTGCTCCTGCGAGATGATATTCGTGTAGTGCTGCGTCTCCTGCATGTGGCTGGTCATCTCGGCCAGAGACCGGAAGCTTTGTCCACACCACATGCACTTAAGTATCTGGCGGGTTTGCTCTGCGCCCTTTCCGAGCCAAACATCCTGGCCCCTCACCAATTTCCTGGGAAGGGGCATAGTTTCCTTAATAAGCATATTTAACTCTGATTTCGAGGAGTTTGAAGAGCTGGAGGTCGAGCTGCTGCTGCTGGAACAGGCCGAGTTGGAGGCTGAAGTGGCCAACCTGGTGGGAGGAGCAGCAGTCGGAGTACCGACTCCTCCGGTTGGCAACGGCGAAGGTATCTGCACACCGCAGTGCTGAGTCTCCTTCATGTGGGCAGTTAAGTTAGCCAGAGTTGAAAAGCTTTGCTTGCACCACACACACTTAAACACATCCTTAGCGGTATCAGCACCTTTGTTCAGCCAATGAGACTGCCAGGCGCTGTGCCGTCCACCGGAGTTGGACCCAGTTGGACCGCCTGCCCCAGGGACTCCGGGTCCCAAGGAAGATGTAGCGCCTGAGCTTCGGGCAACTGCTGGTGTCGTTTCCAGTCGACTCATTTCACTCATCTTCTCTAGCGCTTTGCTGGCCTCACTGGGTGCCAACTTGGAATATCCCAATCCCCCCGTCTTGGCGGCCACAGCCGCCAGGTATGGGTTGATGGACGGCATCCAGCCGCCAGGTGGTAGAGGTGACTTGTAATCTCCGGATATACTTCTTGGTATCTTCCTGGCAGGCGGAGAGTCCGATTCCTGCCTTTTCCCTGTGCTTACAGATAGATCTAAGGGACCATTATCGCACTGGACATCTTGCTCGGGCTCTTGGTCCTGTTCCTGATCCTGTTCCTGATCCTGATCCTCTTCCTGACCCTCGTCCCCGTCGCTCGTGGGCCGCTTTCTGCTAAAATCCAGGGCCGGTGACTCCCCTTCCACTTCCTCCGCCGCCTGCTGCGTTGCTTGTTGGACCAGGGAAGCCGCTGCCGCCAAAGGATTCGTTAGCAGAAGGTGATTTTGTTGGGCAGCGGCTAGGTAAGCAGCCATGGCGGCGGATTGGGGCGGGAGCAGGGCAACTGCAGCTGCAGGAGGAAGGGTCGCCGTCAGGGGAAGTCCCACCGAGTTCGGGGAGGTGGCCGTGCCCGTTTGCATGAGAGTGGGCGTGGCAGCTGGAGTCAGGCGATCGTTAGCCGAACAATGCGACTCAGTCGATGGGCATCGGACGTCTCCCGTGCCCACTACCGCTCCAGCTGAGGTGTTGGACTCCCGGGACTGGCATCGCGGACTAGTAAGCTCACTGAAATAAAAATCCGAAGGTGATGCGAGTTAGGATCGGGCACGGTATACGAGTATTTGTTATATGTATCAAGAAGTCGTTCTCGTAGCTCTTAAAAGGTCGGTTATGAAAACAGCACCAGTGCTACTGCCAATATGGGAGCTATCTGCGACTTGCAAACAAGCACTCCACTCTAGAGCGGAACATCTATGTATATTCTATTAACTATTTTATTATTTCTTGATATGCCAAGAGGCAGACACGCCGCATTCAACACGCTGAGAAAAAGAAACTTTCAATACTCGAGGAAAAGGGGTTTGTAATTTCCCAACACAAGCCGTGCAAGAAGAAGCGCGTTTCACACTAATTGACCGGCAAGATGCTGCAATCATAACAAACTTTTAAGCATGGAACACAAGCCCGAAAAAAAAGCCCGCAGTCTGGATTGTTTCAGCAAGCAACTTCACGCAGATGGTGTATTTCTCGCTGCTTTTCAACGACGCAATCGAAATGGAGCACCGCTCCTCTGGTGGACCTCCTCGGAAAACCCCGTATGGAATCGCGATTGGCTGGGAACATCAAATCGGAGGAACCGCTCACCTTGCACTCAGCGCCTGGCGATAGATTTCCAGCATGACGGCCTCGTGCAGCATCATTTTGGGGAATACTGGGAACTGGGGCTCGCTCTCCAATGGTTTGATTAGTGGGCTGCCTGGAGATACTTTCGTCTTCCGTCCGCCTGGTCATCGATGGCGGCGGACTCGTTCTGATTTTATTTTCGTTCACTGAATAAATTCCTCGGCGAGCATACGTGTGTTTGTGCGACAGTTTCGTGTTGAACTTCTATCAAAAACACACACGTCAAATAAATCAAATGTCACAATGGCTCGTGGGGCAAGGAGGGGCGGGCGGGGACTGAGAAGCGGAGGACCACGACGATTCGATGACGAACGGATGTATGTGAGCGTGCGTTTGTGGGTTGCAGACGTATTTTATTGCTGTTGCGGTCAAACTGCCGCCAATTTCACTTCCTTCAGCTTCCTCTTCTCACTTCGCACACACAACAGCTGTGCGTGTGCCGTGGCTGCTCGGCAGTGCTATTAATTTAGTGATTTATTGATGGCTCGTCACGATTACTGCGCTTATTTATTCACATTCGCCTACACTTGCATTTTCGAGGTCTGTTGATTAACGGAATTCCGTGAACACTATTCCCTGCACTCGCAATTTAGTCGCAGGTCGAGCGATGTACCGTTACTGCTGCACCACCCACCGTTCAAAGGCGACATGTTTTCAAACTTGCCGCTGAGAAAGCCGTTAGATGAGTCTCCAGCTCGGCCGAAGTCGAAACTAAAACATTCGACTGAAATATCTTTTTGACAATCGGAACGTTGAGAGCTGACAGCGGGCAGCGGCTGAGAGCGAGAGCGAGAGCGGCAGAGGCAGCGGCAGCGGCAGAGCGCGAGCGAGCAGCCCAACTGAGTTGAACGAGAGAAAGAGACAGTTCCCCCATAAAAATTATATATAAAAGAGAGGATGTGAGATGGGACGAGAGTGGAGCTCGCTCTCACGTTCCAACCGACGCCTGCGCATCTTTGTCGTGCACCTTTGTTTTGATTTATAGCGGCGGCTCTCGCTCACCTCCGCTGCACTCTGAGAGCAGCGGATTGCAGGCTTGCAGGATTGCAGGGAGAGCGAGCGAGAGACAGCGGTGTGTGACAGGTGTTCCCATGTATAACCCATGTGTGAGTGCTAGTGGCCCCCGCATTTGTGCATGTATTGCAGCTGGTCAAATGCTGACTGCTCTGCCGGCGTTGACGCCGCTGCCGCTTAAATCAAGGTTATTTATTGAAATTGAAAATGAAGCAATGCGTTGCGGAGAAGGGCGAGAGGGAGGGGAGAGAGAGAGAGAGAGAGAGAGAGAGAGAGAGAGAGAGAGGAAGAGAGAGAGAGAGAGGTTTGTTAAAGTTAAAGAGTTTCCATTTATTTCCAGCACTTGAAAAGCATTCATTTTTTCACTGTTTTTTCCTAGAACGGTTTGGTTGCCTCTACCGTCGTATGACAATCTCCTGCTGGCTTGGTCACTTGGGGAACAATTGTTGCATGCATATCGCAAAAGGATACCTGCAAGCTCAGTGGGTAGGTGGGAAATGGATTCACTTCGGTCTCTGAAATCCTGAGTTCTGCATCTTGGTCCCGCCTTTTAAGTTGTTCCCGTTTTTCCTACACTGTTATTATTTTCCAATACTTGTGCGCAGACGACCATTACGCATCTTTATTAGTTTTGCAGTACGTCTTTGGTGTATCACACTGGTCAAAGGATAGGAGCGAATAAGAGCGACAGAGCCTCTTACAGATTTCATTCATGTCAATTTGAGTTCCCATTCCATTGGTGTTACTAGAATCACAATTATTTAAAATTAAAATTAAGAAGTTAGCAGTAGATTGCCTGTTTTCGAGATTGCAGGCCAGCTTAGCCTGGCGTCGGCCTAATAAGCTGCACAAAACTTTTTATAAAATGGTCTGATTAAACAGTTTGTGGCATGTATGTGTGTACATATATCTAATATTAAATATAAATATAAATAAATATGTACATAACGTCAAATAAAATAGGTGTGCTGCATTCGCAAAAGAGAATATCGCTCTTAAACAAGAACATTTTCTATAATTTGAAATATAACCTAGACACTAAGTTAACGCACCGTAAGAAAAATATGTCTTCATAAGTTTAGGATGATTTTGTAAAATTTCGTCCTATTTTTTTCGTTGGCATCTTAAATCAAGGCTGCTTTATAAATCGCTGTCAATTTGGCACTGAAACTTTCTAAATGCACAAACAATTTTTCCTTAACCTTACGACGATCGTATTTTACAAGTTTTAAGCAATTTAGGCATCAAATATTCTTAACTTGTTTGTTAAATTTTCTTTTATTAGTAACCAATAAAGTGATCCATTCCCAATTCAACAACTTTTAGCCAAAATCAAAGAAATTGTTCTTAAATCGTCAAAAAAAATTATTAATTGTAGCCTTAAAAACATTTCTCTTTTCTAAAAAATGAGTATATATTTAGAAATTATTTTCTGACAAGTAACAAGTTAACTTTAAAATAGCAATTACCCTAACCTAAAATTATACTCAGCCTTAATAATAGAAATAGTAAACATGTATTCAAAATATACATAAATATTTTCTTAAAAACTTATATATTCCTAAAAATTGTCTGGCATTTAAAAGAACAAGATAGAATGCTATAGTCGAGTTCCCCGATTATCAGATACTTGTTACTCAGCTAGTGAAAGTGCGCCCGAGAAATTTAATCATTTTTTGGAAGATCGGTAAAAACTGCAAAAAAATATTAAAAAATGTAAAAGTTTTCAAAAGTGTGGGCGTGACTTTGTTGGCTGTAGAAGTGGCCGTGGCAAAATTTTTCTTGGCAAACTTAAAGAAATTTACAAAATATATAAAAAAAACGAAAAAATATCAGCATTTTTCAAAAGTGTTTTGTGAACATTCTATCTTCCGTAGTTCCTGAGATCGACCCGTTCATACGGACAGACTATAATATGTACATATATACTTTATATGTTCGGAGGGGATTCCTTCTGCCTGTTACGTACTTTTTAACGATTCTAGAATACCCCTATACTCTACGAGTAACGGGTATAACAATTTTGGAACAATATTATATACAATTTGGGAACCACGAACTTTATTTTCAACAAAAACAAATTACCTAAAATGAATGTACACATGGAGCCCAAACTTTTATTTAATTATCATTGAATCGGTATAATATATAGATAATAATATAATAAATTTATACATCTGCAAGTGTTTTTTTATATTTTATTAAGTTTTCTTATTTTTAAAACCTTAACAGTTAGCTGTTAAGATTAAGATTAAGATTGTTTGAGATTAGTGTTGGAAAATACGGTTAATTTTGTTAAAGTGCAAAAGCTGAGTGAAAGCTGCCATGTTCTTTTGTTTGTCCCTATGTTGTTTTGTTTGTAAGTATATCAAAATGTACATATGTAGGCACAATTTTTAAAAATAGTTACATTTTATTTCTCTATATTCCTCAAAGCAACCAAGTGCTAGTTCCAGCCTAGGGCTGAGTGTGCAATTAAAAGGTATCCCGAACCAATTACCATGGTCACCAGCATTAGTGGAAATCCAATGGCGAAAAAGTGCCAAAAGGTTATCTTATAGCCGTGCTGTAGGGCGATCAGCGCAATGATCTCATTAGAAACGGCCCCAAATAAAGACCCATTTCCCCCAAAACAGGCTCCAAAAGTCAAGGCCCAAAACATTGGGGGCAGTGGGATGTCATCGTTGCTGGCCATCTGCAAGCTGAACTTTAGCATAAAGATTGTAACTGCGGCGTTGTCGATGAAGATTGTAAGTAGGGCGGTGGTCCAAAGAAGCACCATGGTGGTTACCGCAATCTGGTTCTGTGGCTCCAAGCTTGTAAGAAGTCGAACCGTTCTCTTCCCGAGCCACTCAAAGAATCCCAACTGATCCACGGCCTCAGACAAAACAAAGAGGGCTGCTATGAAAAGGAGGATTGTCCACTGGATTATGCCGAGTATGGCGTTCAGGTCGTTCTTGTCGTCCAGGATAATGAGCAAGAAGGCGGCTAGCAAAGTTACCCAACCCAAGGAGGCCCCGTTTGCCACATTGGGTATCGAGTGGAGGATCATGCAGAGGAATGCAAAGATAAGGGCTATGCAGCATTTCGCCAGAAGCGGCTTATCGCGAATGGGACTGCTGGCCTCCAAGTCAGCCAAGGTTTCTGGATAGTCTTCCACTGGCTTCAGCCAATACTTGCTTGGCAAGCTACCCTTGAGGAGAGCTATGCGTTCTTGGGTTTCCTGGTTGGGCGGTGGTTTTCCTCTGGCTCTCTCCTGCATGAGGTCCAACTGATTTTGATCAAGGACAAATATGCTTTTTCTGTGGGTCACGTATACTATGCCAAAGACCACGAACATCGCGGCCAGCACTCCGGGCATCATGTGTATTATAAAGTTGACAAAGTCAACTCCTTCTGCAACCGCCACCGGATTTGTCGTTACGATCGCATTCGGTGGATTTCCCAGAGGCGTTAATGCACCGCCAATATCTGCGAATATAGCCATTACGACCAGCACGTAGCTTGTCCGCAAGGACATCTCTTCGCAAAGACGGATAGTTATTGGGGTAAGTGACAAAGCCATGATATCGCTGTTCAGGAAAGCTGACAACAAGGCGGTCAGCATGCTCAGGAAAAAAATGAATGGCCACGGGCGACCCCTGGATATCCTGTACGTCCAAACGACCAGGAAATCGAAGACGCCAGTTGTCGCCATAATATCCACAATGGTCATGAGTCCGAAGAGCAACATCAGAGGCTCGAAGTTAACAAATGATATTATCGCCTCCATGTCGGGCCGGTGCTCCAGGATAGCGAGAATCGCAATAGCTGTGGTAGCTATGATGAGTGCAGCAAAGGTGTGGTCTATTACGTCGAAAATGATCAGCATATAGAGTCCAAGTATCAAGAATCCTGAATAAACCAGGCAAATATCGGTGACCAGCGGATTTGTGTCCATAACAACGTGCAGGGATACCGGAGAATCCCGCTTACTCTCCAGCGAGATCACTACTTGAGTATCTGCCCCTTCCGTTTCCTTGACCATAAAGTTTT